TACGACCTCCCTCCCCCTCCATCCTACGCTCCCTCACCCACATCTTTAATCTCTCCCTCTCCTCCGGCACTTTCCCCTCCCCTCTGAAACATGCACACATCACCCCCATACTTAAAAAGCCCTCCCTGGACCCCAATGACCCGAACAACCTCAGACCCATCTCCCTGCTCCCATTTACATCTAAACTCCTCGAGCGCCTAGTCTACACCCGCCTATGCTCTCACCTCAACGACAACCACCTCCTCGATCCCCTACAGTCTGGCTTCCGTCCCCTACACTCCACCGAAACTGCCTTACTCAAACTCTCCAACGACCTGCTAACTGCCAAAGCTAATGGCCACTATTCAGTGCTCCTACTCCTTGCCCTCTCTGCGGCCTTCGACACAGTCGACCACCCCCTCCTCCTCAAAAAACTACACTCCCTCGGCCTCAGAGATTCTGCTCTCTCCTGGCTCTCATCCTACCTGTCACAACGCTCCTTCAGCGTTACGTATAATGCTACCACCTCCCCCTCACTCCCCCTCTCTGTTGGGGTTCCTCAAGGCTCTGTCCTCGGGCCCCTTCTCTTCTCCATCTATACCTCCTCCCTTGGCCAACTCATACACTCTCACGGCTTCAACTACCACCTCTATGCCGACGACACACAAATCTATCTCTCAACCCCCCACCTCACCCCCTTGGTCTCAGCCCGAATCACACACCTACTGAGCGACATATCAGACTGGATGTCACTCCACTTCCTTAAATTGAACCTCTCCAAAACCGAGTTTCTTGTCTTCCCCCCAGCCTGGACACCACCCCCCATTGATTTCTCCGTCACGTCCAACAACGCTACCATCAAACCCGCCCTGCAGGCCAGAGTACTGGGTGTAATTCTGGACTCCAACCTATCCTTTCAACCCCAAGTCCAAACTTTAACAAACTCGTGCAGACTCCACCTCCGCAACATCGCCAAAATACGCACGTTCCTAACCCCAGAAACCACTAAACAGCTCATCCACTCCCTCATCATATCACGACTCGACTACTGCAACTCCCTCCTCACTGGCCTGCCTCGCCGCTGGCTATCCCCGCTTCAGTCGATCCTCAATACGGCTGCCAGACTCATTCACCTTTCCAACCGCTCTGTCTCCGCCACCCCCCTCTGCCAATCCCTCCACTGGCTTCCAATTGCGCAACGGATCAAATTCAAAATCCTAACGCTGACGTACAAAGCTGTCCACCATACTGCCCCGAACTACATCACTTACCTAATATCCAAGTACCGCCCAGCACGCACACTCTGCTCCTCACAAGACCTCCTTCTCTCTAGTTCCCTGGTCTCCTCCTCCCATGCCCACCTCCAGGACTTCTCCAGGATGTCACCCATCCTCTGGAACTCCCTGCCCCAACCCATCAGATTATCACCTACTCTATTCTCCTTTAGGCGCACCCTGAAAACCCATCTCTTCAGGGAAGCCTACCCCACCCCCTGCTAACTTGCCGACCTCCTCCACTCTTCCTAACACTCCATCCCCCACAGCTATCTCCTCCTGTGCCACCATCCCCTCCCTCCTAAATTGTAAGCTCGAAAGAGCAGGGACCTCAATCCCCTCATGTTTTGCATTGTATTGGTATTGTTCTGTCACATGTTCTGTCCCCCTTTGTAATGTACAGCGCTGAGCGAACTATTGGCGCTTTATAAATACTGTATAATAATAATAATAATAATTTATAAAGCGCCAATAGTTCGCTCAGCGCTGTACATTACAAAGGGGGGGGACAGAACAATAACAATACAATGCAAAACATGAGGGAATTGAGGGCCCTGCTCTTTCGAGCTTACAATCTAGGAGGGAGGGGATGGTGGCACAGGAGGAGAAAGCTGTGGGGGATGTAGTGGTAGGAAGAGTGGAGGAGGTCGGCAAGTTAGCAGGGGGTGGGGTATATATACTCTATCTTTTATACAGCGCTGTTTGTTTTTGTTGAAATGTACAATACACACACACACATTCTCTACAATGCTCATATCCTCAACTAAAAATGTTTTGGTTTGTTTTATAGGTTTTTTTTCTGAACAGTGCACTGTGTGTATAACTAGCCACATGCACAACTGTTATCTGTGAGCAATTACAGTGATCAACAAATATATCCAACAGCAGAAATCTAAATTTAAAGCTGCAGTACCTGATATTGTGAATCAAACAAAAGGAGATACATTTCCTAAACATAATACAGAAGAAATATCAGTTTTGAGTTCCAGACGCAGACGACTTGCATGCAGCATTGGAATCAGGAAGTAAAGATGTTCAGTTTCGATTTACATGCAACTCTCTATGGTATACATACAATACATCCGTTTAGTTCATGAAGCACTGCAGTGGCCAGGAAAGAAATTACAGTCTCAATTTGGCTTGTTAGTACGTGTCAGTGCTGCTGTCCCTGTTTAACCCAAACGACTTAGCTGTTCTGCCATGGATGACCTGGTTAAAAGGGAATTCCAGCTAATATCACGCATGAAAGTGCAAAAATGTTAATGTGTATTTAAGCTGAAATGAGAAGTGGGATTAGTACGAGCTCATTTACATGGACAAAGAAAGCCGTACACCATGAAAAACAAACAGATCTGTGTGCAAGAGTGACAGGTGTTTGCATACAGCCGCCTGTACAAATCAGTAACAAACTGACTGTAAGCCGGTAACCCTGCATCCGAGTGTATGGATGTGTGCCTTTGGAGGAAGACAGTTTGGGGGAAATGTATTAAAACTGGAGGACTCAGAATCTAGTACAGCTATACAGAGTAACCAATCAGCCTCTAACTTCATCTTGTTCAATAACGCTTTGACAATAAAACCTGGAAGCTGATTGGTTTCTATGCAGAGAAATGCTCTTCAAACTTCATCTTGTTCAATAAAGCTTTGACAAAACCTGGAAGCTGATTGGTTTCTATGCAAAGCTTTATTGAACAAGATGAAGTTAGAAGTGGATTTCTCTGCACAGAAACCAATCAGCTTCCAGGTTTTATGTCAGAGAAATCCACTTCTAACTTCATCTTGTTCAATAAAGCTTTGACAATAAAACCTGGAAGCTGATTGGTTTCTGTGCAGAGCTGCACCCGATTTTGCACTCTCCTGTTTTAGTAGATTAACCCCTTAGTGAGATTTGATGGTGTCACTAATTTGATGATCACAGTTCTTGTTGGAGCCTCTGACATAAAATTGTTGCATCCACACAGACTGTGCACAAAGCAACAAGGCACAGGAAGTCAGTAATAGGGAAAGATCAGCTGCAGGGAGACCACAGGCAATGCTGCTGAGTAGTCCTTTGCTGGCTAAGGAATTTCAACACTCCAGGAGTCAGTTCCCGAAAACAGCCCCCTCCCCCGCTCATGCATATCATAGCCCTCCTGTCTTTTTGAAGTCTCGCTATACAGCTTTTAGCCCTCCCCTCTCTATATAGCCATTTACTTGCCCTAGGATCACACCTAAGCATTTTCTGCAGCATTTTGGAGAAACGCAGTACAGTCCATTTAACATGATTTCCTATGGGACATGTTCACACCTGTGCATTTTCTCCAGGTGCTTTTTTGGAAAGGGTCAAAGACTTTTTTGAACGCAAAAAGTGGGGTTTTTGATTCTATAGATTCCAATGGAAACACTGCAGAAAAGCATGTATTGATTTTGATGTGTTTTGATGCATTTTAAATCTGCCTAGCAACGAGAAAAAAAAAAAAAAAAACACGCAAAACATGCCATAAACGCAAGTGCAACACAATGCAACAAGCAATGTAGAAACGGCTCAAACGCAACTTGCATAGGTGTGAACCCAGTCTAAAAGCTATTTACATAGAACTCTTTTACAAGCAGCAGGAAAAAAGAAATACATTTTTACCCTGAAATAAAAGTGAGGGGGTGGTTTTCTGGAATCCCCCTATTTATTATACAATTACACACGACCTGCTGTTCTCTAGCTCCCTTGTCTCCTCCTCCCATGCTTGTCTCCAGGACTTCTCCAGAGCTTCCCCCATCCTCTGGAACTCTCTACCCCAATTTATCAGACTATCGCCTACTCTGCTCACTGCGACCTCTGAAAACCTCTCTTCAGGGAAGCCTATCCTGCCCTCAGCTAATAATGGAATCTTCTATTCCTCCTACCAGTCCATCCCTCCACAGTTTATTACCCACCGGCCCCCTCCCCCTTAGATTGTTTGTACCACCTGCCCCTCCCCCTTAGATTGTAAGCTCCAAGGATTGTAAGGCCCTCCTAACCCTCTTGTATTGAACTGTATCGTTGCTGTATTGCCTCCCTTTATATTGTAAAGCGCTGAGCAAACTGTTGGCGCATTATAAATCCTGTATAATAATAATGTACTATTTGTCTGTTCCTATAATTAATTAGTAAATATGTAAGCTTTGACAATATTGAAGGACCTAATATACTGCAATATTAGCTATAATAACAAACACAATGCTCAAAGAAGCAAGGTCTTATTTATTTACAAAGTAAAATAATAACAGAAATCTAAACCAATATTAGAGAGTATATAGGAATAATAGTAAAGATGATACGTTACGAAAGTTCATCCTCAAAGCCAAGTATCTTTTAGCTGGATCCCAGGTAGGAAAAAATGGTCAAAGAAAGCCTGGCCAAAACGGTCTTTAACCACTAGCCTACAGGGCACTTATACCCCCTTCCTGCCCAGGCCAATTTTCAGCTTTCAGCACTGTTGCATTTTGAATGACAATTGCGCGGTCATGCAACACTGTACCCATATGAAATTTTTTTATAATTTTTTTTGTGACAGATAGAGCTTTATTTTGGTGGTATTTAATCACCTCTGGGTTTATTTTTTCTTAAACCAAAAACCACTGAAAATTTTGAAAAACGAATTCTTCGTTTTTGTTATAAAATTTTGTAAATAAGTGATTTTTCTCCTTCACTGATGTGCGCTAATGAGGCTGCAGTGATGGACACTGATAGGTGGCACTGATGGGCACTGATGAGGAGGCAATGATAGTTGGCACTGATGGGCATTGACAGGCATCACTGATGGGCACTGAAAGGCAGAACTCATATGGCACTGATAGGCAGCACTGATATGTGGCATTGATGGGCACTGGCAGGTGGCATGGATGAGCACTGAGCTGGCACTGATGGACACTGACAGGTGGCGCTGCTGCGGCTACACAGATCATCAGGGCACACTGATCATCAGTGCCCTGATGACTGTGTACATGTCCCCTCCGAAGAATGCCGATTACCGGCTCTCCTCACCTCACGAGCTGTCAGCCTGTTTACATGCGATCAGCTGTGATTGGACACAGCTGATCACATGGACCGAGCGACATCTTTGGCTCTTTCCATGGATCGGTGATCCGCTGTGTCCGAGGGACACAGCGCATTGCCAATCGCCGCACTGGGTGCTCCGGGAGCTGCGCATGTGCGGTTAGAATGGGAGGACGTCATATGACGTCCTCCCAGAACGAGAGAACCACCTTGCGTCCATCATATTACTTAATGGCGGGCGGAATGCGGTTAAAAGCCCTCTCAGACACCACCCACACACAAACATCCTTGACCCGCCTGGTGTAGTCCTCTGTCCAATGAGCAAATGTCCATAACTCATAAGGGGCTGTTCTCCCTATTCATTAGGAATTGTAGAATTACCCCCAGCCATCCTCCTAGAAGTATGTCGTCACTGCCAGAGGGCTCTGCTATATTACCAACAATGCTCGGACCCAGGTCAATCACATCCGGTTTCTTCCTTCTAGCTAGAAGCCATGTAATCTGTCCTTTTAATATTTGTGTCACCAGGGAATCTGGGCTGAGGCTCTCTTTTCTCCATGCCCTACCGCTAGGGGGTATGTGTGAACTCCCAGGACCAGGATTTTGGTTTGCAAACTTTTGTTACACACGCCCTGTTGTAAACTCTTGCTTTATTGACACTCCAAGATGACATCCAACAAGCCAAATGGTTCTTTGATAACAGGCAGTACGAATCCATAAATGTCTGAAATAAAAAACATGTTGCCTTCCAACATATCCCTAAATTGTATGAGCCTTTACTTCCGCTTTAACTCAGTAAACTATACAGCCTAAAGAAGAAAATTAAGGTAAACAAATTTAATTACACAATTTAAAGTAAATGTAAAGTCAAAATCGTATTTCTAATTTTGGATAGAAAGGGGAAAGATTAAACCCTTCTGTTTTTTCATGCAATCCAGGGCTCCATTAGTGAGATTTCCCGCTACTTCCTGTCCTGCTGACACTACCAACCAGGAAGTGAGGAAACAGCAACAGAGACATAAAAAAAACTTTAGCAGAATAGGGAAGGTTAGAATCCCCGATAAGATTTTAATTTGTCTGCCTTACTTATGTACCTATGTCAAAAGTTAGCCTGCAGTTTCATGTTTGTGTATTTTTATCTCCTTGGTGCAGTGCTGTTCCTGATTCCTTCCACATGTGTGTCTGTGCTCACCTATGGGCGTTGTGTGCTGTTCTCTGGGTTTTATTTCCTTCCCTTCCATCACTTCCTGGCCCGCATCCTTGTTTGCCTGCCTATATAAGACATGCTCAGTCTAGGCCACGTTGCCTTAGCAATGGCCTAGTTGTCTGAGTGCCTGTGTGTTGCTATCGCCTGTATTGCCTGTATAGGCTACTCATGTACCGGCCCTAGCTTCATTCTCTGACTGCTTGTTTTCTGCCTGTCCTGACCTCGGCTAGTCTATCGGATTTCTGTTTGTCTCCTCCCATTGTACTCTGCTCCTGCGAGCAGTCTCCTCAGCTGGGCGTAACCAGGGGCCTGACCTGGTCCCAGCTTGCTGAAATTCCATCCCCACAATCAGGGGCTCTGGTGAAGAAGCAGGCTGGGGCTTAGACTTTGTGCCCCGGGGAACCCCAAGTTGACTATCTACAAGGGCTCACTACCACAAGTGCTGACACAAGAGCAGCAGCTCTCCCAGGTCTCTCCCTCCTCATTAGATCAGACACAGCAACAGGAACATTTTCAAATCACAGCTGGTGGGGAGGGAGAGGGGGTGGCGGGATTAGTCATGCTCTGTCTGTCTTATAGATATACAGAGGCAGCTTGATGGCAAGCATGTGTGAGTTCCTTAGAGCAAATGCTCAGTTTTCAGGCAACAGCAAGGGCTTAGACTCCGCGCCCTGGTGAACTCCAAGTTGACTATCTACAAGGACTCACTACCACATGTGCTGACACCCTACTGCAGATTTTCTCTTTATCTATTAATAAATGTTGTCAGCAGGACAGGAAGTGATGGAAAATCAATTTAACAGAACCCTGGTTAGCAGTATTAGCCTTTTGACACCGGCCCTGGCATCTGAAACCCCTTAAATGGCCAAGAGGCGAGGTTTTTTATCATGTGACTGCTGTGATTGGCTGTTACAGAGGTCACATGATTGGAAAGCTCCCGATTGCACATAGCAATCATAAGGTATTCGTTAGCCACCAGTAACTGTGGCACGAATGTGCATGGTGCTCACTCTTGGCACAGTTCTGTTTTCCTTTTTGTATGTATACAATCATGGCCAAAAATATTGGCACCCACCCCTGCATTTCTGTCAGGAAACGCACTACTTCACCCAGAAAATTGTTGCACTTACAAATGTTTAGGGATTCTAGTGTTTATTTCTTTTGTTTGTATTGGTATGACAAAAGAGTGGAGAAACAAAAAGCCAAATCTGACACATTCCACACAGAACTACAAAAATTGACTGGATAAAATTATTGGCACCTTCTCAAAATTGAAAGAAATAATTGCATTCCAAGTTTGTGATGCTCCTTTAGTTTGTAACTAAACTCATCTGTATCAATTAACATGTGCTGATAAGATAGAAATCACACCAGCAATCAGTTAAAATGGTGAAAAATTACTCAACTTTGCTGTTGTGTGTCTATGTGCCACATGGAGCATGGAGAAGGAGAGAGCAGCAGAGGATTTGAGGGCAAAAATTGTGGAAAAGCATGGACAATCTCAAGGTTAGAAGTCCATCATCAGAGATATTAATGTTCCTGTGTCCACTGTGCACAACATTGTCAAGAAGTGTCCAGCCCAATGCACTGTAGCTAATTTCCCTGGATGTGGGCAAAAGAGAAGAAGCAAAGATTGCAATGAAGGATAGTTCAAAGGGTGGAACTTCGATCAGCTTCCAGACAAATTCAAGCTGACCTTCAAGCACAGGTTACTTCCTCTGGATCAACTGTGGGTATAAGATTATAACTTTTTTTATGGTTGAACTGGATGGACTTTTGTCTTTTTCAGCCAGACTATGTAACTGTCAGCTCACACTATAAAATCGCCATCTGAATGAAAAGGGACGCTATGGTAGGAGACCCATGAGGACCCCACTGCTGACACAAACATAAAGCCAAAATTTACCCGAGGATGCCAAAATCCTTTTGAGAGAATGTGCTGTGAACAGACGAAACAGGATTACAGCTTTTTGGTAAAGCCCATCATTCTAATGTTTTCAGAAAAAGAAATTAAGCCTTTAACCACTTGCCCTCCAGAGGATTTACCCCCCTTCCTGACCAAGCCATTTTTTGCGATACGGCACTGCGTTACTTCAACTGACAATTGTGTGGGCATGTGACGCTGCACCCAAATGATATTTACGTCCTTGTTTTCCCACGAATTGAGCTTTCTTTCAGTGGTATTTGATCGCCTGTGCGTTTTTTATTTTTTGCGCTATAAAAAATGCAACAATTGAGAAAAAAACAATATTTTTTAATTTTTGCTATTAAACATGTTCAGTAAAAAAAATTAAGTACAATTTTGTCAGAAATTTAGGCCAAAATGTATTCTGCTGCATGTCATTGCTAAAAAAAATCCCAATACATGTAAATAAATTGGTTTATGTGAAAGTTATAGTGTTTACAAAGTTTTACTAGTAATGGCGGCAATCAGCGACTTATAGCGGGACTGTGGTGGGCATTCTGACACTGGAGGGAACTGACTTAGTGTCACTGACATCCCCAGTGAAACCAATACAGTGATCAATGCTAAAAAAAAAGCACTTACACTGTACTAATGGCTCTAGGCAGGAAGGGGATAACATGAGGGGCGATCAAAGGTTTAACTGTGTGCTGTTTCACTACTAAGTGCTGTGTCCGTGTGCTTCACTGTGAGCACACTGCTTTGGATGGCTGTGCTCTGCACAGCCATCCAAAACAGTGTGCACCAGCTGACAGGGAGAACTGTCAGAGAGCGGAAATACCTGGAAATGCAAAATCACGTGATTTTGTGCAACCGTGCCATCCTGTAGCAGTATTTCTGTTATAGGGCGGTCGGGAAGTGGTTAAAGAAAATAATACAGTCAAACATAGTAGAGGTTCCCTGATGTTTTGGAATTGCTTTGCTTCTTCAGGCACTGGATGTCTTGACCGTGTGCATGGCATTATGAAATCTTAAGACTACCAAAGAATTCTGGGGTGCTATGAGGACCCAGTGTCAGAAAGTTGGGTCTCCATCAGAGGTCATGGGTTTTACAGCAGGACAATGATCCAAAGCACACATCAAAAAGCACCCAGAGTTTCAGAGTCCAGATCTCAATCCCATAGAACACCTGTGGAGAGATCTTAAAACAGCAGTTGGGAAAAGGAACCCTTCCAATCTGAGAGACCTGGAGCAGTTGGTGAAAGAAGAGTGGTCCTAAATTCCAGTAGATAGGTGAAAGAAACTTTTTGATGGTTACAGGAAGCAATTGATTTCAGCTTTTTCCAAGGGGTGTGCTGCCAAATATTAAACTGAGGGTACCAACAATTTTCCAGTCCATTTTTGGAGTTCTGCACGGAATGTGTCAGATTTGGTTTTTTGTTTTTCTACTTTTTTGTGTCATACCAATACAAACAAAAGAAATAAACATGAGAATACCTAAACATTTGTAATTGCCACCATATTCTGGACGAAGTAGTGCATTATCAGATAGAAATACAGAAGTGCTGATATTTTTGGCCATGTCTGTAAATGCGATCTCTCGGTGGGTGGGCTTTAACACCGAGAGGCCGCATATATGCGTACCCAAAACTGAACTGCGCAGAGAGCAAGCACCATGTACACTCTGGCACAGTTACTGGCGACTAATGGAAAGCTCCCGATATGCATGCGGCCGACAGGAAACTTAACCTGATAGGGGATCTAATTCTTTCCCACTCTATCCAAAAAGTGTGCTAGACATACAGTCTTAAGAATTGTATAATTTTTTGCAGCGGATTGTGAACATTAGCTACACAACGATACAAAAAACAGAATTCTGCCATAGTACCATAACAAATGAATAGGAAAATACTTGTTAGTTAGGGCATGTTGCACCTTACAGTATATGTTGAATGCATTGCAATCTGTCAAACAGAATGAAGGTCTCATTTTGACAGAC